TCTCTACGGTTCTGCCATTTTCTTTGGCCTGTGTGACACCTTCCGCACAGGTCAGGGTGACCTATAGTGAGACAGACTCCCTGAAGGTGAGGGAATGGGGGTGGAGGGGCTCCCAGCTCCGTGACCGGTTTGGGGAAGCCCAGACTGACTCCCGGTCCTGCCTTGGTTCCTGCCCCTGTCCCTCCTGCCTACACTACCGGCTCCTTCCTGGGGCCGACTGGACAGTGGTCTGTGTTAAAGGCGACACGCTTTGTCCTTCGGGCTCCAGGAGGGAAGCTGCTCGGTGGCCCCTGGGACCGGCAGCCCGCAGAGCACAGCATCTCTCTGAGCAGCTGTGACCTCCAGAGACCAAAAGGCCCAGCCTCTGGGTCAGTGTCATCTGGTCAGCGACAGCTGGAGCCCTGCCCAGCGGGCCGGAGCCGAGGCCTCTACGCCCAGGCCAGCACAGCAGCCCCGCCGTTCAGCGGGAAAGCGGCCCCGCTCCCTGGGGGAGGCGCGCACACCCCCATCTGCCTGTGCCGCCATCTGGCCCCACAACAATGAGCAACAAGAGGTCACTCAGGTTCCTGAGCGTCTCGCATACGCCCCTCACTCCATCCTCACGGCAGCCTGTAACAGGCAGGGCCGAACCCTCGTGTCCCAGACGAAGGAAGATTCACATGTTCCAACCCAGAAAGGCCACGGGCCTGGCCACAGACACCGTGTGAAGAGGTCACGGCTGGGCCCTGACCCCAGATGTCTGACTCTGAGTTCTGGTCTTTGTCGACCTCTTGCTGCTGCCAGATGTGGATCCATCTGTGCTCCTCCAGCCAAAGGACCGGGTTACACCCAGATCCACTTGTGGGACAAAGAACACCTGGACACCCGGTCCCGCAGAGCAGGTCACCCTGAAGGGCGTGAGGGGGGGACCCACAGTCACAGAAGATGCCACAGATCTGCTCGCTCCTGCCTGTCCTCTCCAGCCCACGTCGAACAGTGTTCCCAGCTGGAAGTGCACCCCAGAGGCCCGGCCAATATTTCTCTGGGTGCCAAGTCACTCCTGGGCACCCCTGGACAGGGTAAAGTCTACAGCACATGGAAATGCAGGTTCCTGGTGGTATTAGATGCAGTGTGTGTGTGTATGTGTGTGCGCGCGTGCGCGTGCGTGCGTGCGCGCGTGTGTGTATGTGTGTGTGCGTGTGTGTACGTGTGTGTGTGTGTGTGTGTGTGTGTGTGTGTGTGTGTGTGTAGGAGGACACGAGACCTGTCTCACTGGGGGGATTCTGTGACTCGAGCTCAGAAAGGATCCAGCAAGAGTGAAAAGTCAAAGCAACTCATAGGGCTTCTCAGATGAAGGAAGGCTCACGCGTCCCAGCAGTGCAGTGGCACTAAAGGCGTGTTCTGAGCAGACCGCTCCCTAAATCATAGAGCCACGCTTGCCTCTGGGACTCCCCCAATGAAGATGACGTCGCCGTTGTTCTAAAGCCACAGTTCCCTCTGCCACGAGGGTCCAAACCAACAGAAGAGCCACGCTCTGGGACACCATCTTATGGAATCACCCGAGTAGCTGCTTAGGGGGCGACTTGGGGCGAGGACAGGCTCAGCCGCCGAAAGAAATGGCCACTGCCTGACGGGTGAGGGCCCAGGGCACCTACCTGGACTTCACGGGTGTGATAGGCGATGATCAAACCCAAGAGGATGATGGTGGACAGACTGATAAGGCATTTCAGGGCCAACGAAAACATGGAATCCTGCAGGAGAAACGGAGAGAGAATTACGGAGGGCCCGGAAGGGGACAGCTCGCCTCACTCTGAGGCCATGGGAAGGGGAGCCCTGGGGCAGAGGAGGGACTGTCAGCAGAAAGTGCCTTTGGCTGGGCCCTGCGCTACTCCACCTCAGCAGCTGCTCCCCAGCCCGGCCCCTGTTCTCAGGGTTAAATCCCTGCTGCATCCCTGGGATGAAGGCTGCTGGGTGTGATGTACGGCCTGTGTTATATGTGACCAGAATCGGTTTGATGTGTTGTTTAGAACGTTTGCCTCCATACTCATAAGTCATCTGAACAACATTTTTTTTTGGTGCTGCTATGATATGGTGTGGGCATCAGTACTGGGCCAGTGTAGGCCTCTCTTTTCCCGTAACAACCTGAGCTAGAGGTTCCCTGCGGCCCTCCGATCTCTGACCGTGCAGGATTTTCTCAGGAATGAATGAGAACGTCTTGGCAGCTGCTCTCATCTCCTGTTTTAGGTCAAGGGCAGGGAGGGAAGCAAGGGTGGCAGAAGAGCGACTGAAGAGAGAAGGGGGCTGCACACATGAGCAATGAGGGGCGCTGGGCAGGAGAAGGGCCCTGCGGGGCCTCCCTGCGGAGGATGGGGGAGGCAGGTGGGCTACGGGCCTTCACTGCAGCCTTCCAGCCCCAGGGCAGCTTAGAGGACCCCGTGGTTGGGAGCACAAGCTCTAGGGACAGCTCACTGGTCCAAACCCTGACACAGCCACTAGCTAAGTGACGTCAGCTGCTCGGTTGCCTCAGGGGCCACCTGGGGATCCCCTACCTCGTGCGGCTGCTGTGAAAACGAGCAGACATGTGTGTACTAGTATGTAAAGGGCTGGACCAGTGCCTGGCCGTGTAAAGGCCAGCTACCACTGTCATCTGCTTTGCTTCCTTACCAATGCAGGGCGACTCCATGCCTTCCTGGGCATTTGAATGCTTGGGAGCAGAGGTGGCTTCCAAGCCCAAAGGAAGACAGGAGCACAGCCTGAGCGAAGGTAGCAGATGAGAGGCCGGTGCCCAGGCTCCTGAGAGATGGACGCGCACAGGAAACAGCCCCCGTGCTCCCGGGGCTGGGGTGAGAGCAGCGCCTATTTCATAAAGCACCTCACAGTTTACAAGGTGCTTCACATGCCAGTTCTCATCCATCCTCATGAAAGCCCCTGGCCTCTGTCCCAACTCATCAGACACCCCGACAACCGCTCAGAGAGGCTGGTGCCTGAGATCAAAGCCCAGGCCCCCGACTCCCAGGGGAGCACTCCCACCAGCCCTCGGGCCCTCTCTCCACTGGGAAACAGCAGAAACGCTCTCTGAGAAGTGTCCCCTAGGACCGCTTACGACAACAACGGAAGGTATTTCAAAGGTAGGATATGATGAACTGCCTGGGGAAACCTACAGTAAACCCGGGGTGGGTGGGGGAGTCAAGAGAGGGAGACATCACTGTTAAGAAACCTTTCAGAGAGGCTGGCTGGCGTGGATCAGAGGTTGAGCGTCAACCTATGAACCTGGAGGTCAAGGTTCAATTCCTGGCCAGGGCACATGCCCGGGTTGCAGGCTCGATCCCCAGTGTGGGGCATGCAGGAGGCAGACAATCAATGATTCTCTCTCATCATTGATGTTTCTATTTCTCTCTCTCTCTTCCTTCCTCTCTCTCTAAAATTCAATAAAAACATATTTTTTAATGTCAATAA